AGGGGTGATCTATCAACAGGAGAGAAATTATAAGCTGTATGCCTAAACAATCCTAGTACAGAAGTCAAAAGGCCACTCATGGGAGACAAGATAACTATACCCCTATTTGAGTGAATTAGACGTGTTGATCTCTTTACTGGTGTCCACTGGAAAAGAAGTCAAGCACCTGTGGAGAATGGGGAGTCAAAAGGCAAATCGAGGTCATGAGCGTCCTCTACTATCCAACAGAAAATGGTAGGGTGACAAGAACTGCAAGGATGTGGTCCCTTTACCAAGTCTCCCTCTACAGCACAGAAGTCCCTCCTACTGTCTTACCTGAGGTACTTTTTCTAAAATCATCCAGATTTCTTGGCATAACTCTATCCCCTCATTACCATTACAATCCAATCCTCCATGTAGATTATTCAACTGAAGTCCCAGGTCTATCACAGCCCAAAGTTTAATCTTGTGGCTTTGTCAGGCAGGAAGTACCTATTCCCTGAGTTGCTTTATCTTATCATTTGGCAGCAGATCAACAGAATTGAATCTCAGATCTAATCATTTTAGCTGTGTGAACTGAGGCTGTTATTTAATGTTGCTGTGCCTTTCAACGATGGGAGTCAGTCTCTTAGGACCCAGTTACCTTCCAAGGTCTTTCCAGTTAATTTTCTCTCAGAAAACTCAGCCATGTCATCTCATGGCACTTCAGAACTAGATGGTGAACTCACTCCAGGAATTCTGACCCTGAGTCTAGTATTTGCATTAGTAAAATACATCTTTCCTATAACCTTTAACCTTATTTAAAGGTATTTACAGGAGGGGGATTAGGGAACCAGTCAGTGTACTAAGCCCTAACTTTGCTGAAAAAAGGAAACCGCCTGGTTAACTAGTCTTCTGCCACTTACATCTAAACGTAGGCAAACTGATATGTGATTCAGTTAAAGGCTAATGCAGAGTACAGGCAAGTGTATTTGCTAGCTAGCTTCAGATACCATGAGAGTAAAACTTGGGAGAAAGGAGTGGGCTTGCAGCGACTACTAGTGGTGGCTTTTTATCATTGCATGATTGGTTCAAAAAGCTTGCTGAATGACAGCCTCCCATCATCCAAATATGTAATCATTTGAGTCAAATGTAACATACATTTCTCTTTGAAAACATTCTTCATTAAGGAATGCCCCTCCTTAGGAATCCAAGTGTGAAAATATAGGATGTGTATGAAATGATAATATTTGGCCCTCCCTGGTGGTGCAACGGTTAGGACAGCCACAGCAGCTTCAGTGAGAGTTCAACCCCTAGTCCCCGAGGTGATCCACATGGTGAGGCAGACCTCTCCTGGACGGCCCACTGCTCCCCTCAGCATTGTACTTTGTCGATCTGCCTGTTCTGCTCCCCACTCTGTCTCTGGTAAATCCTCTCACCGCCTCTGCACCTCTGGCTTGTACCCCAGTTCTGTATGCATAAATAAAAATTTTTTAAAGAAATTATAATATTTAGGTGAGATTATTCACTTAAAAATACTTTTTATAACACCCTCTTTTTAAAAAGCTATTCCTCTAGTAGATTTTGATATTCAGTATTACAAGAATTCCACATATATCTGCAGAGATGTTATAGTACAAATTCACAGTGTGAACAAACGTATCCTGTAGTTTCAGGGTTTTGTCTCTGTTGACCAATTGAAACCTGAGTGTAGCAGTGTCTGACAAATATAAAACACTTAATGCTTAACAGAAAGAAGTTGAACTGAAGGGTTCTAACATAAAGAAGGCAAATTTGTAAGTTTTGCTAGGCTGGTATCTTAACCATTCAGCTGCTATCACTGTGCACTGAGGGGCTTAGAAACAACAGAAACCTGTTTCCACAGTTCTGGAGGCTCAGAGACTAAGACAAGGCAGAGTCCATGGAGTCAGTGTTTGGTGAGATCCCTGTCTGGTTTTCCACCAGCAGCCTCTGACTGTCCTAACATAGCAGAAGGGACAGGGAACTCCCTGGGGCACTGATCCCATTCTTGAAGACAGTGTCCTTTTGACCTAATC